CGCTCTTCCTCTGTGGTGTCAGCGATGTGTTAACCTTTCACAGGTCCTGGTCCACGTAGTGATGTTATTGTGCAGTGTGTGTAGAGCAACCTGCAGCGTCCACAGCCTGCAGGATGTCGCTCGCAGTTGGCCTGTCCAGAGGGGTTTTAGAAGAGTGGCAAAGAAGCACCTTTCCTGCTTCATCCAACAGAAAGTCACCGCCCATCTGAAACCACCATGGTTTTTATATAAACATCTCACAAAAAGTGATACCGAACTCTGCAACTCAACAAAACAGTTTCTTTTAGCTCACTGGTTTTATTTTACAGCCCACACATTTACTAAAATAAAAGGACATGTATAAAATGGAAAATAAACATTTAAATACTTTTAGATTTGTTTGGAGTCGCAGTCATGACTGATTAAGACCAAGTGACAATTCTAGTAAAATAAACTTGCAGTGTCATGCTTAAGTTTTTCTTTGTAAGTACAAGATCTGGTTTTAACTAGAGAGTGATAGATATTGACCATGAGGGCACTGCTTCCGGTTTAACAAGTAATACTGGGTTAATGGGTCCCAAGTATTATTTTCTAAAATAAATGGAAAAACGTTCTAGCGCTTTAAACTGTGCCAAAGAATTTTCTGTTTTGAGATTCATTTATTAAAATGTTTACAAACTAAGGCCTTTACTAGTATGAAGAAAACTATACTTAGTAGGTTTTATATCATGTAACGTTTGTTTCTGCATTGGACAACAAGGATTTGCTTGTTGTGTCCAATCAAGTCAGATAGATACAGTATGAACCACAGTCCTTCTTTCAGTTTCAAAATGCTGGTTTCTAAACCTGGGAACCAGCCAATATACACCATTAAAGCACAGTATTCACTATAATGAGGGCCTAATCTTGGGGCCCAGTGTCAAAATCTAGTTTTAGAACCATTATTATTTGAAAGATAATAATCTTACATAGTGGATATTCCAAAATAATCATGTTATATTCCAGAATAATGCACAGTGCCTAGGAGACACTGAGCATAATTCAGATCCAGCAGCTGATTTTTGCCTCATAGTCCCCAAGCAGGTTGTCACAGTTATCGCTGTGTTGTCCATTTGTACCTGATAGATGTCTTCCAGTAGGCGAGGGGGGATGTCAGGGAAGTCTCGGCCCACTGCTTCGTACTCTGAGTAACGCAGCAGGCAGCCGAACTTCATCACCTTGGCGTAGGACGAGCACAGGCCAAAACTCCTGTAGATCTGTGGCAAAGAGGACGTCTAGTGTTTCAAACAATTTTGTAAAAGCAGAAAAGCATTTGGGCGGGTTTATATAACCCAAAGCACATATCAGAGAAAAAAGAAATAAACAAAAATAACTCATGCGGTTTGAATTCAGAAGTATGAAAAATATTTCCTGGATGACCTAATCACCTTCTTCACACACGTCATGACTGATGATGTGGAAACTCTTCTCTTCCTCCATATTTGGCCGACTGCCCTTGTTTCCATTTCACATCTGCAAACATCTGGTGGCTGACTTCACCAAATGAACGATTCAGAGGCCCAGCTTTCTGGGCTTTTATGACACATCATCAAACAGCTGCAAAATCCCTTGGTTCCCTGAGTTGTGGCATTATGTTGTGTTGGTGCTGAGTCACAGCCATTTTTAGTTCGCATATAAATTAGTTCCCTCTTTACTTTTCATGTTCCTGCCTATGAGCACTGAAAATAAATATAAGATACAGACAGATTAATCTACTATGACCTGATTCTTTTTAAATTCCTAATTACTTTATTAAGTAATTTCAATTTTCTAGTTTTTAATCAGTTGACTATGGTGAAAACACAGATGCCAACCTTCCTCTGTGGATCCAGCAGCATGTCAAAGCTACATCCGGTCTGCTCCAGCCACAGCTGAGCTCCCTCCATGCAGCCAAAAGAAACCACCAAGACCCACACTGACTGAGCCTCCAGGGCTGCCTACGGACAAATGGAGTGAAAGCAAATTAAAGCTACCACGAGAATCATACGTCTTCTTGCTTCATGAGGATATGTTTAATTCACTTTTGAACATTTTGATTAACTACCAGTGACTTATTCATATAAAAGGTAAATGAGCAGGAGCTGAAAGGCTGAGTAAAGGCAGACATTTTGAAAAAAAATATGTAGGAAAGAAACTTTCAACGCTCACATGGTTAAAAAGATCAGTTATTTACTTTTGAGAGTTAGACGGGAAGATTGACACACACACAGTATAACCAGCAGCTACTTAGTGTAGGAGGGAAATGCACCTGGCCAATAATTAGTCCTGTCAATTTTTAACACCTGGTTATTGATAAAGGGAAAAAAAAAACAAATTTATTAATTAGGAAGCTTTAGAGGTGGAGGTAGAAAGATTCCACTTCCTTTAATTAGACAGCGCCACTGTTTCTGCCTCCTTTAGACACTGTCAAACTTTGCTCTCACACAGCTCATATGAAGTTTACAGTGATGATGATAATATTAATAATAATAAGACAATGATGTTATTTTGAAAATAACATGAAACTGACAAAATAATAAATAGAAATTTACTGAAAATTAACCAATGACAATCAGTCATTGCTTTTGTATTGTTGTTCAACAGAAGCATTTTAAAAAACAAACTAATGAAACTGGCCCAGACAAAAATTTTGATTTGATTTGATTTATTCTTTCAAGCATGTAAAGACAGTTGATATATCAACACACATAATTTTACACATATCCAACAAATGCTAATCCAATATCAATTTGCTTATACCTAGTACATGCTTGAATGGAGTAGGAAGAAGTCAGACTTATCCAGTCCTACCCCATGACATCATCTTACCATCATTGGTTTGCAAGCAGTATCTCTACATAGATAATTCTCTTCTACACCACACAAGTAATATACTAAAGAATTATTACAAAGTGTTAACATTCATACACCACACCCACAATGTTCCATCTAATTAATCATTAA